TTTGTCTCATATTCTATATGGAGTCCAACTTTCCATGCGAAGTTCGTCACGTAAATTTAGTATAAGAACAACAGTGAATCTTATTTTTCAATAACCGCGGTTTTTTACCGGTGAATATAGGAGGCTTTTAGCCACAACCCTGATGATACTTTGTTTATAAACGTATTTTGCATGCAGGCGAATGGGTTGTGCATCTTCACTTGATTTCCGTACAGCCACAGAAACACCGTCCAACGAATTGTGCTGAAAACCGAACTGAGATGTACACAGATGTATGCTGATGAGCATTTATCTGTTTATCAACTGTGTCATGTTTTACTGTGTAATCGTTAACAAACACATTATAAATGAACTTAAACTAACGCACTGTTGAATGCTGTCATGGATAAGGGTCAAAAAGAAATTTATCAGGATACGGTTTTTCCCGATTGAGGGAATGAATTAGATAATAAGTCAAATCTTCGTTTCCTGTTTGGCTATGTGTTTACACAAATTTGATCCGTATTGTCTTACCGGGTAGACTACGTTTGATTCCAATTCAGATCAGAGGCCGTTTTATTATGATGCTATTCTACGCGTATGATAGTGCCCATTGGAATGTCCATTTAGCTTGATCTCCGTGGTTATTCTTCAGTCATAAGCATTAACCACGTTTTAAACAAACAGTGGACGTAGTCAAACGGCATAGTCCCCCAGTAACTCAGTCCGTGGGTCGTACTTTCAAAGTCCTTTACCAACAACTCAGTTACCCAATCCCCTGAGTCCCCCAGCCCTGCATTGACTGATTTAGTTTTTTTTGAGTTAACTTACGTTACAACGTTGGATGCAACGTTTTGTATCCCTCCCAATCGACTTGAATCGGTCACAGGCCAGTAGTGAAAATTGATTGTAGAGTTTTGTATTCAATAACTTTAAAAGAACTACGCCCTCTTGTTTGCTTATTATAAAAGTGATGGAAACGGCAGCAATGACAGTTATTATTTTTAGTACGCAGTAGTGGACGGCTTACTCGTCTTCGTATACGGGAAATGAAGAATTCACCGGAACTTGCTTTCAATCTTTCACTCTCCGCTTGTCACAACAGAGTTCTCAACGGTTCATCCATTAGAAATCCATTGATTGATTTGTTCTTACACTTTGGCTCTAACTCTTTCCGCTCTGAGGACCAGAACAACAGGGGCATTTCCAAACAACACTGATCTTTCACACACAAATTTCATTGTTTCGCATATTACAATCTACAATCGCCCTGGGATTAACGTGTCAGGTGACTATCGAATGGCATTTTTCGCCTATTTTTATCAGTGCATGCAGAACGTGGTGGAGGGAGATCAAACAACCATTTTATATCGCGTCAGCCTTTTTTGTTGCCTTCAGTGATGCGAAGGTGAATTTACTAACGGTGAGTATTCTATTTTGGTGTTTGGTAGTTTTTCGTCCGGTGTTTACTTGTTGGAGGTAGTCAGCTTTACTGTGGTACAACTCAAGGCTACATCTATCGGATTGAGATGTTATGTTCATGGATTCTTTGCAGTTAGCATAAATAAACAGACGGTCCTTGTGGTTGTGAAATTTGATCTTTTACTAATCCGCATATTATGGTGTACTGTAAAACAATTGGAAACTAAGCCCTTGAATTTCAAGTGCAGGATGACCTTCCAAAAGCACAGCTCGGTGAAAAGTCGGATGACTATGGTGTTTACCAGTAAACTGAAATGACGATGCTAGGTTATGAACTTCCAATCTTACGATTTGATACGAACCAGTAGCGATGGCTAAAACCGCTCGCTCTCCACCATCAATCTACTATCAATTATATTAATCATCACGCATCACCTACGAATAGTTTTTAAACTACTTACATTCGGATCTCAACACATGCACAAATGAAAATGTTCATTGAAGATAGGCGAGTGAATACTGCATCCTTAGTTTAGGTAACTAAAACTTTCAGATAGGAAACCTTTGTTTGTCACTAAACCTTTAGGATAACCGACGGTGTAAATTTTATACCTATTCTTACATTACAGACTGGTTTAAAAAGCGTATAGTTGCACCTAGCGATAACAGATAATGCAAACACAGATTCGTACTGAAGCTGTGTAATTTGACAAAACATCGGCCTCACGGCTTGAAACTTCACCTCTTTTTATGTGCTTTCCACCAGTACCATCTCTGTTCCCTTAACTGAAACAGTAAGTTTCCCCGACTAAACAAAATCTTTGAGCTAATTAGTTGTAGTGCTTCAGCTACCTATTGTTATGCAAAATTTAAATGTGACCAAAAAGCTAATCGTGTTCGGTCTCAGAATGAAATTCCAGTTGGAAGCTCACTCGATGTTAGTGTATTAGCTTTGAAATGCTGACAAATATCCCACAAATTAAAGAATAGTACGTGAGATGGAAAGAAATCTGACCGAATGAGAATAGGGTTTTCTCATCCTCTGGGAAACGTCTACGATTGTTTTCAACTTCTTAGGCGCATTTCCTAGCTGGTTTTTCTAGTTCTTATCAGAGGGCGCTTCCNCACCAGACTCTCGGAACCTCGAATGACGAATGAAGATCCTTAGCGAGGTTCCGATGAGCGATTACAAATGGATGCATGTGTCTTGCAGAAACTGTTGTTGAGTCACTGTCTGCTGTGTGATAAGAAACTGTCTAATTATCTCACCTATTTCGGAGAAGTCATTGACTAATAAAACCGGCCATTTCTTTGGAAACGCCACCTATGAGACCATCGGGACCTGCATAATCACAGGTTCGGCTCAGAGCGAAAAACACCCTATCACCATGGAGGTGGGACACAAACGTGAATAAAAGCACCTTATCGGCGATCTGAAATTGGAAGTTTCGTAAACTTTCGCAATGGTAATTTAATTTATTCCGAATTGAAAGTAAAAATAAACCGGGTTTGTTTCTTATTTTCGTAAATGACGATTATACTCAACCGTTGTTGGCGTACGGTAAACTACTTTTTTGAAATGTGGCCATTAATACATTAAGTTTCATAAATGACGTCACATGATCGCTAGTTATATTAACGATTAACTTTAAGCGAATATTTTTTGTGCCTTATTATTCTCTCAGTCTGAAACCCTTTTTGAATAGCATCACATCAATTCGAACAGCCATTTGAAGAGACTAATTTAGTCTATCTTGTTGTACCTTTATTTATACAAATAGACAAGCACTTGGGACTTGGAACTCGTTATCGCAAATCCGGATCAAACTACTCTTCCCTT